GATAGTATCAATAGCAGAAACATGAGAACTATGTCAGTCGTCAGTACCAAATGCCAGATGTGTCAAATAAATAAAAAGCTTAGAAAAGACAGCTACAGTAGTGTTCTGCAGACAACCAATAAACTATATCAGTAAAAGTGAATGTAACAAGTAAACATATTAGCGAATGTAAATACCTAGCATGTGTAATCTTAGATGTCCATTATTATATGTTAAATAACATTTAAATGGAACACTTTATATTAGGACTGCGGGCAGAATGGCAGATGGGTCTGTGTTCCCAGTTCTTAACCGTTTGACAATAAGGTTCTTTGGGTTTGTTCTCTCTCTCTCTCTCTCTCTCTCTCTCTCTCTCTCTCTCTCTCTCTCTCTCTGTGTGTGTGTGTGTGTGTGTCTGTCTGTTTCTCCCCACTTTCTCTCGTTGATGTTTCTATCTGCATGTCTTCAGATATAACCAGTGCATGAGAGTCGTCACGTTGTGATTAATGCCGTGGTCTACTTCGTTATTACAAACATTCCAGAACTGACATTGAACCGGAACATACAAACAGGTGCGGTACTGCGCATAAGCTATCACTCAGGCGACATGTTTCCCTCTCTCTTGTGCACTGATGAAATCCATCCCCTGCAGACAACAGCGGTGGTGTCAGTGCTACAATGTTAGAGTTTCTGGAAAGATGCCTGCCTTTACACGGAGATGTTATATAGTTCATTTCTGGACTTAGCTGACTCCTTCAGATGATTGATGGTGATAGCCTGGGCTATATCGATTTTGGGGTTTTGTTTTATAGGATCACAGTTATTTACGGCTGAGTATCGATTTATAAGGAGATGTTGGCGGTTACTCGTGCTGGCTGGCAAACCTCTATTTTGTGACTGTGTTTATCTGTTTGTTTGCACTTCTGCTTGTTTGTACTTCTGTTTTCTACTAGCCGCCGTCCCATGCGGTAAATGTTCTCAGCGTGATGCAAGTCTTTGAAAGGCCGCCCCTAGTGCCTTAGCACTGTCAGATCACACGTTTAAATTGTATTTTGATTTCGCTGCTTATGCCACCCTTAACTGTGTCGCCTGATGCCACCGGCCGGATCTCTGTATCATAACACGGCGCGGCTGTGACTAGTCGTCTTGGACTAGCCAGTCCATCTCTTCTCTCTCTCTCTCTCTCTCTCTCTCTCTCTCTCTCTCTCTCTCTCTCTCTCTTTCTCTCAGTCCTCGCTCTCCCTGCCCCTCCTCCATGGCTGTCATTCTCAACGAGCCTGTCAGAACTGTACTTGCTCCTAGTCAGTCAGACTCTTCTGTCTTTCACATTTTTGTCTCTCGTTCGGAGCCAGCCTCTCAGAGCATCACCATGTACAGAATAGAACCACCATCGTCCTCACGAACTGCTACAGTCATACACGATGTGGTTGTGATAAAGGCCGGACTTAAGTCGATGTTTTGACAAGCCAGACCTCGACAGACACAACTGAGTGGGCACTAAGTGATGACAGGAGATGGGTTGCTGCAACCAGCTAGATCAGCGTTTCTCAAATTTTTTTTCGCAGCGGCAAAATATGTTTTAACTCTGGGATCGGGGCGACGAAAGAAAATTTTTACAGCAACTTGACCTGGCTAAATGATGTCATTGATTGCTGTATTCTTTCAAACACCTTCGCTTAGGACATGTTGACCTAGTCGTAACTGTTGGTTCAGTTTCCTCTGTTGTCGTTTGTTTTCCCTAGTCCGTGTTTTCCTATTGTTGCTTTGTACTCCATGTTAAGCAATCCTCTCTTGGCATTCGCACAGCCCTGCCCCTTCTCTCCATCCTTATTCCCATTTCATTCTTTCTTCTTCTTCTTCTTCTTCTTCTTCTTCTTCTTCTTCTTCTTCTTCTTCTTCTTCTTCTTCTTCTTCTTCTTCTTCTTCTTCTTCTTATTCTTCTTTTTCTTCTTCTTCTTCTTCTTCTTCTTCTTCTTCATCATTCACCAGCTGTGAAATCTGGGGGAAAGTTCTACTTGGTCACCTGTGTCTGAACATTGTTCTGATTTTCAAGATTCACTTCATTAGACGAATGTTACAAATACCTTGGATGTCCAGAGTAACTAACAACGATTGTTTGAAAGTAGCTATAGAAAGCAGATCTCTAATTACAACAATAAGAAAGAGACAAACACTGTTCTTTGACCACATTGGAGAACATCGTGACAACTAGAAAGATCAGTAGAAAAAGGGGTAGAGGCAGATCAAGAGAGATTATGCTGGATAGGCTAAAACGATGGTATGGGGGATATCAAGAGAGCTGTTGCAGGGAACCAGGGATCGTGATCTGTGGAGACGCGTGAGCGCCAACGCCAGTTGACAGGGCACACGATGATGATGAATTCATTAGATTGTTCTGTGTGAGGAAGTTCGGTGTCCATACAGACAAGACTCATAACGGCTTTCTTTGTATCGTTGTATAATTCCTGGAGATGATTCTCCCTACTGGAGTGGTCCTTCCTTCGTCTTTGTTAGGCTGGGACTTCCAGTCCAGTGTGGCGCAGTGACAACAGAGTGCTTTTAGCTTTACATTCTTGCTTAAGCACTAGTTTGTTAATGCGGTTTTCACATATGGACTAGAGTTTACGTTTCGTTGCCTAAGAGTTAAGTGCTTGGTGCAGCACTGTGAGCAATGCATTTTGTTTGAAGTGCCTTTTTTCTGCAGCAATTTGTCTAAGTTACCTGTGTCTCTTGGGATCGCGAAATACCTTGTGCAATATTTTTAGGGTGTGTACATCAACTCATCATAACTGGCTGCTTTCCTCCATCGACGACAAATTGCAATTATGGCAGCATATGTTGGTGTTGGCATCTCTTGCACAACTTTGTGCATTTACTTCCTGGTCATGTTTCTAGATTTTGCTAGTGCTAACTTTTTGTTTATTAGTTTGCAAATGGGACAGTGAAAAATATTTTGTGTGGTTTCCACTAACACAGGAACACAGCACCCATATAGCTGAATAATTATTGTTTCATTATTCGTAGGTGGTTCTAATTTCCTACGGAAAAGGATAATCATCACCGACGCCCAGTCTTCCTTATTCGCTTTTTTACATAGTACATGGCCTACAGTTTTAATGTTTTTAGCTTTTCCACCGCAGGCACTTTAGCATTTGGGCTGCCTATTCTCCATTGCATCGTTAGATAAAAGATAGAAGAAGACAAGTAACTGGAAAACATGGAGGGCTGTCTGGCGAACCTCTTTTCGTATTCACATTCCACCCTGGCTGCCCGCTACTGTTGTCTTGTCTCACGGAGACTGCATCGAAATTGAGTGGAGTGCTTCACATAGAGTAGAGTATGATATTTGGTGCAGGTGTGGTACCCGCGCAGCCTTAACTGTGTCATTAAAATAGCTGCAGCGGCTTGAAGGTAGGGATTAAAGATTTGACATCCATAACAGTTGTTGTGCACGTCGCTTTCTGTCTGTGTGTGTGGATGTGTGACCTGTCTGCCTCTGGTTGGGGTTACATATCTTCTAGTACGTGTTACTTTTTTCCCCAATGCACTGTATTCTCTAGTGGCAGTTTGTAAATTATAGCCAATGTGGGCCTTCAGAAACGTATTTTTTTAACCAGTGCAAATGTGAATAATAATGTCTAGTGGTGATTGTAAAACAGTTTGAAGCTTGAGACATCAGCCTCGCTTTTACCTGATCTGGTATATACCCGAGCTACCGTATGCCCACACAGTTATCAGCAGTGACTTGCACAAATACCGGTTTGCATTACGAGCCATGTATTTGACAGTATGTAGTCCGTGAGGAAATATGAGACTAATCTCGGTCTGATCTCACCCAGTTTATGTTGAGTGGCGACGACGTTGTTGTAGCCAATATTCATATCCGCCAACGTCAAGTTTCGGCAGCCGTGTTGCACACACTTCTGATTTCTGGGCTGAGAGAACTACAGTGCATCAAGTGCCACAAAACGTCTGTCCCCAAGAATAAGTCTGGCTGTTGTATTAATTTGGGAACCGCTGTGGTGTAGCGGCTAGACGCCCACCCCAGATCCGTTGTTGGTCAGGTCCTGGTGGAGCTGGATTTTTTTTTTTTTTCAGAACTGTCTTTGGCTCCCAGGTCGACGGAACCTTAAATAGGTGTCCTGTAAACTCCACATCAGTCATTGAGTACTGACTGGTCGATAAAATACAGACCTGAAACTACATATGCCCACTAGGTCTGAGAGCGTGGGAAAGGGTCCTTTACTTACTGATCTTCATTTGTTTTGTTCGTGTAGGTTCCGCCACCCCATTGGGCCTGAACACATGGTATATGGCGACTAACCAGGGGTGTTTCTTTCGAAGTCGGGGTGCATCTGCTCAAAAGGGGCGAGGAACCAACAGTTTGCATACAAAAGAAGCTAGATCTGTAAAACGAATGTGTACCAGAGTCCAGAAATAAACGAACTACCAAAACTTTCCACCGGAGTTTATAACCGGTAAACACTAAGACGGAGAAAATATTAATGTTTGCCCAAAAAGACACATCAAGGGTTGGTTTCATGTCATGTATATTTTGTGTCCACAAATCTGCATTTATGTTATGAATTATTTAAAGCTTTGAACAAAAACCATTGTCAGTATTATTATTAATTTAAAAAAAAATTATTTATACATTTGTTACTTTATAATTCACAGTCCCCTGTGCGTGTTTAAATGTCTAATAAAGAATCGACATTCCAGCACTCTGAATAAACACTCCCTCCTCATCTTCAGCAGCAAACGCTGACAAAAACAGTGCAGTTGTCGTGGGTTCACTTCTCATTGTGTTATATTATTTTCTGAACAGATTAATGATCAGATTGAGTAATTTATGTGTGCCTTCTAAGCTAACAGTTGGATTGTAGTGCGCTGTACAGGACGGGCTGTGTCCTCTGTAGAAGTGTATCATTGACGGTATAGTTAGTACAACACAGATGCATTGTATCGATCCCCTATTGCGACATTCACGGGAGATTCCACGATTGCAACACTAAAACATCATGTCCGCCAGAGGGAGAAGTTTCAGCGTGGAAGAGCACGTTAGCGTCCCGGTGCCACATACAGCTGTGGTGGATTTGACTACCAAGCCTGTACCTAGTCTGCTCAGACATAGACGACTCAGCGGCTGGATGCCCAGACGCTCAGAGTCGCAGGAGTCGTCCATTTCCTGGACCTTACAGAAGTGCGCCCGATGCAGAACTCGCATTTGTAAGTCCAGTTACAATTGTATGTATTTGTGTGTGTGTGTGTGTGTGTTTCTGTGAACACAAAGTTGGAAGTTTACTGCGGTAGGGACGTGAAGAGAAACACGGCAGTATTGTAGAGTGCGGTTACATCTCTGAAGATTATCTTGACTGTATCATGGACTCATTTTCTCTTAAGCCCTAGACTTATTCTTGGAAAACTAATGTGGTAGTTCCCCTCTTGACCCGCTAGCTCGCATAAGAGATTCGGATGCAGTTGACGCGAAATAAATATGTCGTTAAATGTAGCTTTTTCTGATTTGCGGGGGTTGGGAATAGTGCCAGGGTAGCAGTACCTTACCACTGCAACTGTGGAGAGTTTAGCAACTGTGGACAGTGCAACACGTGGATTTTTCTTGTTTATATTTGTGTTACAGAGAGGGCTCGATGTCGGATCTGTGAGACGGGCAGGGCTAGACGTCTCGGGGTTACGTTGGCTTAGGCGTTTGGTGGTGGTGGGGGAGGGGCTAACTTCCTTGGAGGGCTTATATCGTAAGACTGATCCACAGCTGGGTTAATGCCTGCTAGGTTTAGAATCGGAGGCAGTCATTGAGACTCTTGCTGCCTGCTGACCAGATGATTAGACTCATCTGGCATGCCATGTTTGTAGCAGTGTTTCTCAACCTGACTACATCCGCGGCCCCTGAACACGTTTAATTAACTCCGCGGCCCACCGGACACTGAACACAAACAGATGTGGATACCAGATTGTTTGTTCAATCAGATGTCACACAATGACAGATGTACACAAAGTACCTACTAGGGCAGTGCTTTAGTCTGAAGAGCCTCGTAAAACACTGAGTAAAAGAGTTCAGCTTGGTGAGAAAACTTGTCACCAAAATAATAATTATTTGACATTGTTTGAATGACCGAAACCCAGTGTGCGGAACATCCTGACCTGATCAGCTTTAGTCCCGGGCGATTACAGGTTGAAAGGCTCTAGTTTAAAGGTCCCACAAACCTGCTAATTGCGAACTAAATTATGAATCTTTTTTTACAAATGTGAAACCCAGTTATACTGCTCATCAACAATCAAGGGCTACCCTTTTATTTTTACTCCACTTTTATATAAGCGCATAGAATGATAAAATAAATAGAGTTTCAATAAAATGTGGTGGAGTATCTTCTTATGCAATGGCAAACTACTGGACGTAAATTTGTCTAGAAAAACCACAACAGCCGGACAGTGCTGGGGTTGGGTCTGCAACGTCCTGTAAAGGATACGCAACTATTTATTTTGTCTTTCTATGACAGTTCTCTATGCATGTGAAACATGAAACCAACTCGCCGATAACCATGGTGATCACAGGCAGTTTGGCTTGCTGATCATAAATTCACATTGTGAATCTCTTTTGGAAGTATACACATTTTGCATTGATAAACGACAGTCGGGTAAGTATCGTGTTTGCAATCTTGTGTCAAGCCTGGCACATTCACTTTGGGCGGTTTGGTTGGGTACACATTAGATATGTGTCCGCCATCGGCTGTTGCTTACCTGCCGTGTACTTAAGTGCAGTGAATGTGCCCCTGGAGACGTTGCTAGCGTTCACATTATATCACGTCGACGTTTTGGGTGTTGGAGGCTTTCTTGTTTTGTCATTATCTGTTACATCAGGTTATTTGTCGGTGTCTCTACAGCAATGCTTGTTTAAGTCAGCCAGCTTCATATTATATGTGCTGCCTTTATCTATATCTGCTGGCCTGTCTTCATGTCTGTCAACCTACATACATGTCTGTCTGCCTGGGCTGATATCACAAAGTGCACATGGGCTAAGATCTTACCCCCCCCCCCCTTTTTTTTCTCTTTAAAGAAGCCTTCAATGTCCGTATAATTTTTAACTCTGTCTGTCCGTCTGTCTGTCTGTCTCTCTCTCTCTCTCTCTCTCTCTCTCTCTCTCTCTCTCTCTCTCTCTCTCTCTCTCTCTCTCTCTCTCTCTCTCGCGGGCGCGCGCGAGCGAGCGAGCGAGCGAACGATGTATGAATGGAAGAAGGTATGAACGGAGGGAGACTTGCGTGACTTATTCTTAACCCAGCAAAAATCAAGTGTGTATGTTGGTTCTCATGTTGCAAGGATCAGCATGTCTCCACGGTTGTGAACTATCAGCACTGTCTACCTTTCACACTGGTCTCTGAACTTGAGCATGGCACTTGGACAGAACACTCTCTTGTAGCCAGTGGCTTCCATCTGATGTTGGGTAGTCTGCGAAATACATTTTAGGGCTCTGTGATATCATTGACTACACAAATCTGTGTCTCCGTCTATTAATCAGTGTCTCCATCTGTTTATCGGTGTCTCCATCTGTTTATCGGTGTCTCCATCTGTTTATCTGTCTCCATCTGTTTTTCAGTGTCTCCATCTGTTTATCTGTGTCTCCATCTGTTTATTTGTGTCTCCATCTGTTTATCTGTGTCTCTATCTGTTTATATGTGTCTCCATCTGCTTATCTGTGTCTCCATCTGTTTATCTGTGTCTCCATCTGTTTTTCAGTGTCTCCATCTGTTTATCTGTGTCTCCATCTGTTTATCTGTTTCTCCATCTATTTATCTGTGTCTCCATCTGTTTATCGGTGTCTCATCTGTTTATTGATGTCTCCCTCTGTTTATCAATTTCTTACCCGGCCATAGAAATTGTTTGAAAAGACTAGTCCTTTCCCTCCCCCTTAATATAAATGATAGTTAAAAAAAAAGAAAAATGTTCGCTAACACTGTTTATTAATTTTTTTAAACCTAGGCGTTTTTCCGTGAGCAGTTTGCACATTTTTTATGCTTTCTCTCCTCTTATCAAGTCACGAATTTTCAGCTGTTTTTCTTCTTCTTCTTCTTCTTCTTCTTCTTCTCTTCTTCTTCTTCTTCTTCTTCTTCTTCTTCTTCTTCTTCTTCTTCTTCTTCTTCTTCTTCTTCATCTTCTTCTCCTCCTTCTCCTTCTTCTTCTCCTCCTTCTCCTTCTTCTCCTCCTCCTTCTCCTCCTTCTTCTTCACAGTCACTGAATGTAAACTCTGTTTTACAGATCTGACATCTTTGTATGCAGATTGTCTGTTTCTTGCCTCTCAGGCAGATGCACTGTGACCTCGAAGAAAGCTTCCACTTAGTTGACTCTTACGACATGCTTGTTGAAGAGGCAGTTGGTCTGTTCTTGTTGTCCCTACTGTAGGGCCCCAGAACCCACACTTGGAGAATGTTCAGCTGAATTGTACGCCGTGAACATAGCGGATAAAAAGTAGATGGACAAAAAGCCCCGACAACGGCCCCCTTCGCCTCGTTTCTTTCATGAATGACCTTCATGAACTAGAACAATGTGATCTCTGCCTTGGCAGTTTTATGAACAGGTCGACGGTCTATGGCTGGGAATTTGGCAACTGTAGGTCACACCAGGTCACCACCAGCATCTTCTACATGTGTGCTAGTATAGCTATGGGGCGCCGCAATCTAGGAGCTCGGGCACCTTGAGCCACCCGGCCTCAGAAATTGTTTGAAAGGGCTAGTCCTTTCCCTCCCCCTTAATATTAATGATATTTTTTTTTTAAATGTTCTCTAACACTGTTTATTTATTTTTTTAAACCTAGGCGTTTTTCCGTGAGCAGTTTGCACATTTTTAAAAAATCAGTTTTTTTTAAGTTGGGGGGGGGGGGGTGGAGGAAGTCCCTCCGGCCTTATATTCAGGAAATGAGGGGCGTGGAGGTCTTCCTATGAATACAGAAAAAAGGGAGGGGTGGGGGATTTGCAGAAGGTTAAAAACCACCGATCTAAAATGTCAGATCCATCCGCTAGCAGATCGTTTTCGGAGCGGTATTGTTATTCCCACAATCTTCTCTGCACAAGATTCGATTCCGTCGCACGGTTTGTGTTTCTACACAGATTCGATTCCAGTCGACGAATATACTGTCCTTGAAGTGTTTACTTAACCGCGGCGTCTGCCAAACCCCAAAACTGCCAGAAACGCGGTTTTCCCCAATCTATCACTGCCAGTATCCGTGATGAATCGTAATGCGCATTTTCTAGATGTGCCCCATTTGTCACGCTATAACCAAAAGCCGTGTGTTGTGTTGCAGCGTCCTGTCCGCATGTGTTGAGGGCACCCACAGTGATCGCCATGGTGGGCTTGCCAGCCAGGGGCAAGACTTACATCTCCAAGAAGCTCACCAGGTACCTCAACTGGATTGGGGTCGCCACTAAAGGTCAGCTCATCTTTGTTGTCTGTGGTTATTGACTTCATTCTTATCATATCTTAGACAGTGTGATGTTCTTCTCTTTATCACCACCTTTCTATTTCTGTTTCTTCTTCTTATTCATTGTCTCCCACTTTTTCTTCTTCTTATTCGTATTCTTCTTCTTATTCATCTTCTTCTTCCTCCTCCACTTTTTCTTCTTCTTCTTCTACTTCTTTTCCTCATTTGCCTTTATCTTTTTCTTTAATCAGCATGTGGATCTATCCTGTCATGGAACAGTGCCCCCCGGGGCTTTCACCCAGCTGACCCTTCCACTCCTGTCAGGAACTTTGGCTATAACATTCAGTCAACCATAATATTTACTAATATCCTAGTGAAGATAACAGAAGGTGTTTAGCTCCAGGAGAAGGGCAGGGTGTTTGTGTAAGAGAGAGAGATAGAGAAAGAGAGAGAGAGAGAGAGAGAGAGAGAGGTGAAAAGGAAAAAACAAAGAAGTTTGCAACATGTAAATTTGCCTAAAAAAACCACACAACAGCCTGGGGCTGTTGGGGTTGGTTCTGCAACGTTCTGTAAAGGATACCCAACTAACCTTGCAACATCATGTCAGTCTGACATTTCTTTCTTCAGCAGACACACACAATTAAAGAATGACACATGATGCTCTCTGCAAGCAGAAAGAAGACTGTGCAGCGAGGAGGCTGTGTGCAAATGCTAGGTTGTAGAAATCAGGGGTGAAGGCTGCAGTTATCTATACTCTGAATCACAGTACATTCAAGGCACCTGTTCTAGGGTAGGCTTTCCTTGTGAATTTGGGATTTTATCAAAAATCCTGTTATGTTTACAATAAAGCTGTTAGGGCACATAAAAAAAATACAAAAAATATTTAAAAAATAAACACCAAAAACACACATTTTTATGTGAAACCCGTCCCAAAACAACAGTTTTGGTGTCAAGCAGACTATTTGTTTAAC